TCCCAGGACACTCAGGGGTCCTGAGATATTCAGCCACTGGGCTGAGGCCCAGCAGGACAGTGTCCAGGTGTGAGCAGGGACCAGGCAGTGGCTGGAATCGGACCCGGGCTGGGCACATCACACGGAGACTCTCTCTCACTCCTAGCACTATCCACCCCCCCCCAAAAAAAAATACCAGATTGTCTATTTTAGAAACCATGTGGAATCACCCAAGCAAAAGACGAAACCACAGCCCAAGTGTCAGGGCCAAACTCTCCCGGGTACACTCGCGTTGGCTCCAAAGTCAGGCCGGGCTGGGGGTCTCCACCCCCATCTGTCTCTGACGGGTCGTGCTGGGGCCTTGTCCCCCCGCACCAGGGGGGCACCATGACCCTTGCACAGGCCCGACTGGGCACACGGGGGTCCCTCACTCTGTCTCACATCAGCCGATCTCGCGGGGGGCCTGGGGGGCTCTCCCCCTCCTCACACTCCCTCCTGCAAGAACCTTTGCAGACGTGAGCCCCAGGCCTGGCGCCGGGACCCTCCTTGGGCCCTCCCTGGCCATCCCGTCCGTGCTCAGCCGGGCCCCACAGACAGAGCCACGCGGCCCCCCATCTTCACTGGAGGTACTGGCCGGGGAGGAAGGGGGGACCCTGACAGGGCTGTGCCCTGGGGAGCCCCCGGCCACCCCTCCACCTGCTGCCCCAAGTCTGCATCTCCCCACCCGCTATCGGCCCCATCGCTCCCGGGACCCTGGGACCCTTACTCCCACCCACCGGCCCACCTTGAGCTGGGGAGATGGGGGGATAAGGACTGAGGGGCACAACCCGCATTCCTGCACACCCCGACATGAAAGTGAGGGCAGAACCCTGCGGGCCGCGTTCCCCTGCCTCCCGGCCCTTCCGCTTTGATGTCGGCAGAACGTTTCTGAGAAAGGAATTCCAGGGAACCTCCTTCCCCGGAATGCCAAGAAAAACAACCCAGGGCCCTGGCAGCTCCCGCCTGCCCGCCCGCCCACCCGCCCGAGGCACCTGCCGGCAGCCCCAGAGACCCCCGAGGCTCAGGTGGGTCCCCGTCGGTTCCCAGAAGGAGAGCCTCAGGCCAGTTGCTGGAAAGCTCCTGAATATTCTAGAAAGACCCAGGCAGAGAGCAAAGGCGGGGGTGTCAGGGCGGGTGCGGGGTCAGGGGAGAGATTGGGGGGCAGGAGGAAGCCCCTTCCCTTCCCCCGGCCAGCGACAGAGTGGGGGGCAGGACCCCAGGGTCAGCGAGACCACCACCCAACCTGCACCGAAGGTCAGCCTTTGAACAGAATGGGTCCCCCACATGCACACGCACTCATGCCTTTACACACGTGTGCATGGACCTGCACACACATGAACACACACATGGACGTACATGTACACGTCTATGCAAAATAATGAGTGTACATACACACATGCACATATACTCACGTATGTACATGTATTCTCCACATATGCACACACACTCGTGCATGTATGACACCCATGCCTACACACATTCAGGCATGTACACATGTCTCCACACACACCCGTGCACACATGCATGAGCGTGTATATGCAGATGTTCACATGTGCGTGCTCATATGCTCGTGTGTGTAATCCACATCTCACGCACACGTACGCATGTATGTATATGTGCAGGCATGTGCACTCTCTCATGCATGGGCATGCACATGCCTTACACACAGTCACGTGTGTACATGTACTTGCTTTCAGTCACGTATGCATGTGCACGTGCTTACATGCATAGTCATGTGTGTATGTGAACATGCCTGCAGTCACATGTGTACATGTACTTGCTTTCAGTCACGTATGTATGTGCACATGCTTACACACATAGTCACGTGTGTCTGTGAACATGCCTGCAGTCACGTGTGTACATGTACTTGCTTTCAGTCACGTATGCATGTGCACATGCTTGCACGCATAGTCACGTGTGTCTGTGAACATGCCTGCAGTCACGTGTGTACATGTACTTGCTTTCAGTCACGTATGCATGTGCACATGCTTGCACGCATAGTCACGTGTGTCTGTGAACATGCCTGCAGTCACGTGTGTACATGCACACACCTGAAAACACAATCATATGTGTATTTGCACATGCCTGCATGCAGTCATGTATGTGCATCCACAGAGTCTCCTGCCACCCACGGGCCCACGGGCCACACCCGCGTCTCTGCCTGGGCATCCTGCAGGGGGCCTGGCCCCTCAGAGCCGGACCCCCTGACCGGTGTGCCTCAGGCTTGGGCGAGCGAGCTCGGCCACGAGCCCCTCGTGGTGGGGGTGGGGGTGGGGGGGTACCGGCACTGCGTGTGCGGGTCTGAGAGCCGAGTGACGGAACACAGACCTGCTGGGGCCGACTCGGGATCAAGCCCAGCCGAGGGAGGAATTTCCCGAGCTTTGATCTCCGCCTCATCCCGGGCGGGGGGGCTCTGGGGGCTGTCAGCCGGGGTGGGACGGTACGGGGTCGGGCCGGGCGCTCCCACACACGGAGCCGAACCAGCTTCCGTGCCCCCCCTAGGACCCCCAACCCCCCTCCCCACACCCCGCAAGGCCTCGGTGATGCCCCTTCAAAGAGCCTGAGAATTCCCAGGAGTTTTCCACACGCCCCCTGGACAGGGCCCCAGCCAGCGAGGTGCCCCCCGCCCCCACCGCAAGCTTTCGGGGAAGGGTCCAGCAGGAAACGGGGGTCCCCGAGGAGCAGAGGGAGCCTGGCACGCAGGCTGCAGTGGTTCCTGCCTGTCTTTAGGATTCTCCTGCTGGAACTGTGTGCTGATGTCAGGGTTTTTTTTTGGGGGGGGGGGGGTGCAGCTCCATCCCCATTGACCCTTCCCAGAGATGCTCAGGGCTGGGCAGGCAGCCGCAGGATGAAGCCGGGTCTGCAAACCGCCCCCTCCACCGAGACCCGACACGCTCTGCTCTGCCACTCGCTAAGCGACCCCTAGTTCTGGGGGGCCACCTGCCGTCACCCACTTCTGCAAAGGAACGAGGAAAAAAGGGTGGGATGCCTCGAGCAGGCAGCAGAGGGCGCCAGAGCCTCACGCTCTTAGCAAAGGTGAAGGATGAGGGGTAGGGGTGGGGTGAGGAAGAGGGTCCCCCCCTCCAGCCAGGAACTGAGGTCAAGGAGAGGATGTTGATTCCAACGGCCACTCCATCCCTTCACCCCTAACTTGTTTCCAGGCATAAAGCAGCAGCGGTAGGTGGGGGGAGCTAGGGCACTTTGAGGCGACTTTCCTGAAAGTTCCACCCACCCATGCCCTGTGGTCGACATGTGGCACCGCTCACCCCGAAACTCCAGCCTGCGTGGACGTGTGGGCTCAGCCCTGCTCCTGCAGGTGAAGGGACGGGAGCATGTGGGAGGGGGTCACACCAAGTCCCACCCCAGCAGCCCCCAGCCAGCAAACAGGACTCCCACCCTCTGGGCCATCACAGGCCAGAAGCTGGGAGTTTTTCTCTCTTCCATTTTTTTTTCTTTTTGGGTCATACCCCGCGATGCACAGGGGTTCCTCCTGGCTCTGCACTCAGGAATCACTCCTGGCGGTGCTCAGGGGACCCTATGGGATGCTGGGAATCGAACCCGGGTCGGCCACGTGCCAGGCAAAAGCCCTACCCGCTGTGCTATCACTCCAGCCCCTCTCTTCCATTTTTTTGCTTTTTTTTTTTTTTGGTCACACCCGGCGATGCACAGGGGTTCCTCCTGGCTCTGCACTCAGGAATTACCCCTGGCAGTGCTCAGGGGACCCTTGGGATGCTGGGAATCGAACCCGGGTCGGCCGTGTGCAAGGCAAACACCCTCCCCACTGTGCTATCGCCCCTCTCTTCCATTTTGGGGGGACAGGCTGTGTGGAGCCAGGGAAGGACACGGGTTGGAAAATAAAGCTGGTCTTCCTGCGGGCTGTTGCTGGTCGGTGAGAAGTTATTCTGCCTCTGTGATCCCCCCCCAATTCCAGAGCCAAGAACCGTCCACACCACCCTCCCTCGGATCAGCTCTGCTCCCAGCTGCTGGTGGAGACGAGAAACAACAGCACAAAAGGCAAAAACCCCACACGGCCAGGACCAGCTTCTCCCTGGGGGCCTGTGTCCAGCTCAGGAGGGACACGGCTTCTGGCTGCGGGATTGCCTGGCATTCTCCAGCAAAACCCTCCCAGAGTTGAGATACCCCCGCCCCAGTCCTCCCAGCCCAGCAAGAACACACCCGAGATATGCCCAGACAACATCAATTATTTTATTCTTCGTTTCTTGGCTTTTCCATGGCACGTGGGTGGGGGGGGAGGGCCAAAATAATAATTTAAAACCGTTGACATGTACAGAGGCTTGCTTTGCTTTGCTTTGGCGCTTCGGGAAAGAGCCGCAGCCCCCGGGGGATTTGGGGCGACCCGAAGCAACCCCCCACCCCACCCCAGCCCCGCTACAAAAGGCCACCGCGAATCACGCACGGGAGGGGCTTTATTTGAAGCATCAGTTTGGGAGAAGGGGCGGGGCCAGAGCGGCGGGGGCGGGGCCTGTGTGGTAGGGGCGGGGCCTGGGGTAGAAGGGGAGGGGCCTGGGGCAGAAGGGGTGGGGCCTGGGGCAGTAGGGGCGGGGCCTGGGGTAGAAGGGGAGGGGCCTGGGGCAGAAGGGGTGGGGTCTGGGGCAGTAGGGGCGGGGCCTGGGGTAGAAGGGGAGGGGCCTGGGGCAGAAGGGGTGGGGTCTGGGGCAGTAGGGGCGGGGCCTGGGGTAGAAGGGGAGGGGCCTGGGGCAGAAGGGGTGGGGTCTGGGGCAGTAGGGGCGGGGCCTGGGGTAGAAGGGGCGGGGCCTGATGCAAAAGGGGAGGGGCCTGGGGCAGAAGGGGTGGGGTCTGGGGCGGTAGGGGCGGGGCCTGGGATAGAAGGGGTGGGGCCTGATGCAAACGGGGCGGGGCCTGGGGCAGAAGGGGTGGGGTCTAGGGCAGTAGGGGCGGGGCCTGGGCAGAAGGGGCGTGGTCTGGTCCAGCGGGGCGGGGCCTGGTCCAGCGGGGCGGGGCTCAGGTGAGCTGCAGGGGCGCCTCCAGCATCTCCATGAGGAAGGTGTCGATGGGCGTGTCCCCGATGAGCTTGAAGAAGAACAGGTGCTCAAGGCACTTGAGGCCGATGGAGCGCAGCGCGGGCAGGCGCAGGAGCAGCTTGGCGAACCTGGAGGACAGGGAGGTGGGGGGGCTCCGGCTTGGGCCAGGGGGCGTCCCTTGGGCTTTGGGATGAGGCCACTCTCCTTCACGGTCCCGAGGGTCCCTGCCCCGGGCTCCAGCGCTGGCCAGCTGGGGTGTCCCACTCCCTGAGCCCCCCCAAGGGCTCGCCTGGGGCTGGGGCTGGAAGTTTCAGAGGTCAGAGCTGCCAGACAGGCACCAGGGACGGCCAAGGATGCCCGGCTTGGTGGTCCTGGGTGCAAAGGAGAGCTTGGGGCGGGGGCAAGGCAGCCCCTCTGCCACCCGCTTTCTCATCACAGTGCCCCTGGACACCCTTCCGACTCGGTGATCTCACTTGGCCCGTGCCACGTTCCTGCTGCTCTGCCTCTCGGGTCAGGAGAGAGGCACCGTGCAACACACACGCAGAGGTCCATGTGCACGGACATGCATCCCCGCACACACACCCATGCACCCTCACTCGCAGACACGAAGGCTGTCTGTGCACACATGCGCGCACACACATATACACACACACATGGAGGACCCTGCTGGCAGGACCGCATGAGGAGGACGCCCCACGGAGCCACGTTCCCCGGACCCACGAACACACCTTTTGACGCAAAAAATGCCAATATCTGACAGCGGCCCGGCAAGGGTGGCCAGAGGTGCTAGGAGCACAGTCCTTCCTGGGGAGCACCTGTTGATCACCGCCTTTCGAACCACGTGCATGGTGAGGGCAATGGCGAGTGACCCTCTTGGAAAATCCCACTGTGAGGAGGTATGTGGCCCCCTCCCAAGACAGACAGACAGAGAGACGAACACACACACACACACACACACACACACACACACACACACACACACACACTCCAGAGGCATGCAGTTCCCAAAGTGTCCACCGGAGGGCAGCATGAAACCGCCTCGCCAACTGCCAAGTCAGGAGACCTGGCTTTCAGCTCCCGTGACCGCCTGGTCAGCCCCTGTCCAGGCCGTGCTGGACGCCCCCCAAACCTCCAAGCTCTGTCCCGGCCGCATGTGGCACCTCTAAACTCTGATCCCCCCAGACACAGGCGGTGTGGAAGAGGGCGTGACCCCATGAGGCCAGAGTTTCACGTCCAACTCGAAGCCCCCAAACCTAACTGCCCTGCAGCAAGGCTGGGTCTCGGTCTGGGTCTGGGGGGGTCTCACTGTGCCCCGTGCCCGTCCCGGACGCACTCAAGGAGAGGCGGGCGGAAGGGGCCTGGGGGGAAGTGAGGGGCGGTCACGGCTCAGACCCGGGTACCCAGCAGGGCTTCCATGAAACACACATGTACAGGGGTCCTGCCATGGACACAGGCGGTAGGTGAGAGGGTCCCCCAGACGGCCCCCTGCCCGCCGCCAGATCTGCCCACCAAGGCTGAGACGCACCCCAGGACATACTCCCGGCCGCCCACAGACACCAAAGCCCCCCAGTCCCCGAGGCCCACTGTGGGTCACTCCGGGCGGAAGAGGCAGAGATGGAAAATTCGTGAGGACGGAAGTGCCCCCCAGACAGAGGGCTGATCTCCCCCCAAACTAACCTCCGGCAAGATCCCCCCAAGATCCCGCAAGATCCGCGGGTGATGTTCACCCTTCAGGCTGAAAGGGGAGCAGGGGTGGTCCCACCCAACAGGGCAGGGGGTGGTGATGGGACTCAGCCTCCACACAGCCCTGCACAGAGTCCAGTGCCCACCCTCCACATCCCCCAAAGAGAGCACTATGGGGTCGGAGTAATAGCACAGCGGGGAGGGCGTTGGCCTTGCACGCGGCCGACCAGGGTTCGATTCCCAGCATCCCATAGGGTCCCCTGAGCACCGCCAGGGGTGATTCCTGAGTGCAGAGCCAGGAGGGACCCCTGAGCATCACCAGGTGTGTCCCAAAAACCCCAAAAATAATAATGATAATAAATAAATAAATACCTTTTTGAAAAAAAAAAGAGCACTGTGGCTGGGCTCGGGGGAGTCTGGAAGTCCTCTCTACAAAGACAACTCAGAACCGTGACCACACTCACAGCCCCCCAGACCGGGCCGCCCATGGCGGGGGAGGGGGGTCCTGCCCGCTCTGTCCCCTCGGAAGAGGGGCCTCCCGCGTCCCACGCCGCCCTCACCTGCCGGGCTGGTCCGGGTACTTCTGCTTGGTGTAGGCCTCCAGCGTGGCGTAGACCTTCTCCCGGAGCATCTCCACCTCCGAGGGGTTCGACAGGCCCTTGGCGTCTGCGGGAGGACACGGCCGGCTCAGCTCTTGGGGACCCCCGCGGGCCGCCCCCGCAGCCGCCCGTCCCTCCCCACTCCCCACGCCTCTGGGGTGACTGTGCGACTCCTCCATCACCCCGGGCGGTTCTTGGTCCTCCTTGGCATGCCCTGGTCTAGACCTGGCACGCAGGGCGGGGCTGGGGCGAGGCGGGACCTGCCTCCTGCAGGGATGTGGGGCGGGGGGGGAGGCGGCCGCGGCCCCTCAGCTCACCGGGGTTGAAGAGCACGATGGCCCGCAGGCAGCCCAGCTCTGACTTGTCCATCTGCATGTCCTTCATCTTGGAGACCAGCTCAGTGAGGACCCTGCGGGGAGCACGGGCCGTGAACGCCAGCACCCGGCTCGGCTCGCCTGGCCTGGCCACACGCGGAGGGGTCACGGGGAAGCCAAGGACCACCCCCCCCCCGCCCCGACGGCGGCTTCCTGGGCCCTTTGCTGGGTCGCACCCAGACCTCGGCCTCTCCTCCTGAGTGAGGGGCCCGCCCCACCCACCCAGACTTCGCAGAGGGCCTGGCCAGACCCCCAGCTGGGTCTTGGGCATGGTGTGAGACTGTGTGTGTGTGTGTGTGTGTGTCTGTGTGCGTGTATGTGTGTGTGCTCTGTACTCCCCCGACCCCAGGCCTCCCCTCTGGAGCCGGGACCGCGGGACCCCCAGCCTCCTCCTGGGGCCTCCACGGGTTCTAACTCACCAGGTCAGGGTTGCGGCGGGGGTCTCTGCCCAGCTGGCCCTTGCCCGGCCGCCCTTCCGGCCTCCCGCCCCCCACGTGTGTCTCGTGCCCCCGGGCTCCCACATCCACGCACATGCACACACACATACACATGCACGCACACGCACACACATACACACACATGCGCACACACACGTGCACACACACAAGCACACAGATGCACACACACGCATAGACACATGCACGCACACACACGCGCACACACACATGCGCACACAACACATGCACGCACACACACATGCACACACACATGCATGCAAACATGCATGCATGCGCACACACATACACGCACACAGACGCACACACGTACACACATGTCCACGCATACACACACACACATGCATGTGCACAGACACAGACCCCACCCCAGCACACACACACGCAATGCACACACGCGTGCACACACACATACATACACACACATACACATACACACATACACACACGCACATGCACACACGCATACACACACATACATGTGCAAAGACACATACCCCACCCCAGCACACACGTACACACACGCGCGGGCACACATACATGCACACGCCCACACGCACGCACATAAACACTTGCACGCACGCACACGCACGTGCACACGCACACACGCGCGCGTGGGCGGCACCTGTCGAAGATGGAGCCGACGCCGGCGCTGTGGGCACTGGTGCGGTGCACGTGCAGCCCGGTGGCCAGCAGGATGCCGTCCTGCACCGAGACCGACCGGTGCGAGAAGGACGCTATCAGCAGCTCGTTCCAGCCTGGGGGGCGCAGCGGGGAGTCCGTGCGCCGCGGGGGACGCACAAGCCCCTGCACCCGCACCCGCACCCCCGCCCTCCCGGCCGCCTGCCCTCCTTGGGGCGGCCCCTGACCCGGGGTGGCCCCAAAGCCTGAACCGCCGTGGGCGGGGGCACGGGGTCTCCGGGAAAGGGGCGCCGGGCCGGGGGGCGGCAGAGGGCGGGGGTGCACGCGGCCGGCCAGGGTCCGCCCTGAGCACTAGGGCAGAGCCCCCAGGGGAGGAGGCCCTGGAATCCTTTCAGAACATTCCGGAAGGCCACGCTCTGCTCTGCGTCTCCTCCCTCACTTCCCCTGTGCTCTGCTGGGGGCGGCTGCATCGGGGGGGATGCAGGTCTAAGAGCTACTGGGGTCAGGCAGCAGCCCCGCGGGGTCACCTGTGCCGGGGGTCCCCACGGGGCAGCCCCTGTACCTGCACGGAGCAGGATGACCTGGTCCTCCAGGCTGAGGTCCGAGAAGTGCGGGATGCGCTTGGCCCATTCCACCAGCGTGAAGAGCTGCTTGTCCGCCGCGTGGCAGATGTTGGTCACGGGGTCGTTCGTCTGCGGGGCGCGAGGGGCGGGGACGGGGGGCACCAGATGATGGGGGCACGGACGCCGGGGACAGGAGCACCATGGCCGCAGCCCCTGCACACGCACACACACACACACACACAGACATACACCAAGCCATCCCCACTCATACACACACACACACTCATGGTGCTGTCCACACCCCCCAGACAGACACACACACACATACTCTAAGCCATCACCATTCACACACACACACTCATGGTGATATCCCCACCTCCAGGCAGAAAGACAGACACACACATGCACACACACACACACACTAAGCCATCCCCACCCACACCAATACTCATGGTGCTGTCCCCACCCCATGACAGACACACACACACACGCACACACTCCGAGCCATCCCCACTCACACACACACACACTCATGGTGCTGTCCCCAACCCCCAGAAAGACAGACAGACACAAGCACAAATATACACACACACTCATGGTGCTGTCCACACCCCCCAGACAGACAGATAGACAGACAGACACACACACACACACACACACTCTAAGCCATCACCATTCACACACACTCATGGTGATATCCCCACCTCCAGGCAGAAAGACAGACACACACATGCACACACACACACACACACACACTAAGCCATCCCCACCCACACCAATACTCATGGTGCTGTCCCCACCCCATGACAGACACACACACACACACACACACACACACTCTAAGCCATCACCATTCACACACACTCATGGTGATATCCCCACCTCCAGGCAGAAAGACAGACAGACAGACAGACACACACACACACACACACACACACGCACACACTCCGAGCCATCCCCACTCACACACACACACTCATGGTGCTGTCCCCAACCCCCAGAAAGACAGACAGACACAAGCACAAATACACACACACACTCTAAGCCATCCCCACTCACACACACACACTCATGGTGCTGTCCCCACCCCCAGAGAGACAGACACACATGCACACACACACACCCCCAAGCCATCCCCACCCACACATATGCTCATGGTGCCGTCCCCACTCCCCAGACACACACACACGCACGCACATACACCGAGCCATCCCCACTCGCACACACACACTCATGATGCCGTTCCCACGCCCCAAACAGACACACACGTGCACACACATGCGCGCGCACACGCACGCACCGAGCTCTCCACGCTCATCGTGCCGTAGGCCTCCGTCTTGGGCTCCACGGCCAGCTCTGCCTCCAGGATCCTCTGGACGGGCATGTTCTCGTGTCCGGCGCCCTCGGCCTCGCCGTCCGCCCGCTCCCGGCCCCGCTGCCTCTCCTCCTGCACAGCTGCACACGGCCCGGCCGGTCACGGCCACGGCCACGGCCACGCCCCACGAGGGACAGACAGAACCGCAGCTGGCGCGGCCGCCGGGCCCCCCTCCCTGGGTAAGCGCCCCGACTTCCCGTCCTGCTCTGATTTCCAGGGGGCAGGCCACGCGCAGAGGCCCGAGGGTGGGGGGCCGCCCCGGTGGCCCCCAGAGAAGGCCGGAGGCTGGGACTGAGGCGGCCAGCCCCGCCGGGCTCCGGGTCACGGCCCGCTGCCTGTCCACTTCCCTTGGGGACAGGGGCGGGCCCGCCCTGCTCACAAGGGGCTCTGGGGCGAGGCGGGCAGAGACCAGGCTGGACACGGAGCTGGGGGCGCCCAAACTGGGAACAGGAAGGGAGACGTGGACGGGGTCAGGAGCGTCTGGACAGAGGAGGGTCGCCTGCACCCCGGGAGCCCCCCGGGGCGAACTCAGCTGCTCTGGTCTTTCCAATCCCCCCAGACACTCACTGCAGACGCCCACGCGCCCGCCGCGCCCCCCGCAGAGACCATTAGCTGTGCCCTGGCGGGCGGCCTCCCTCAGAGGCTCCGCGCTGGGTGAACAGGGACGGAAGGGGCAGATAGACGCGTGTGCAGGGGGGAGCGGGTGGGGGAGCGGGCTCCCCTAGAACACAGCTGTAGGGGGCCTGGGGGGGAGGGGGCCTGTGGCCCAGCCAGGGAGGGCCGACCCGTGCTCCCCCACGCAGGGGTGAGGCTCACTCCTCGTGCAGGGGTGCAGTAATTCACTCTCCTCCCCAACAGGCGTGCAGGGACCCACTCCCCTTCCCCGTGCAGGGGTTCAGAGACTCACCTCCCGGTGCAGGGGTGCAAGGACTCACCCCCCGCCCTCATGCAGGGACTCACCCTGCTCCCCGTGCAGGGGTGTGGCTCACCTCCTTGTGCAGGAGTGCACGGATTCACTACCGCCCTCCCCATGCAGGGACTCAGCCCCCATGCAGGGATTCACTCCCCCCACGGCCCCCTGTGCAGGGGTGCGGCCCCCCTCCTTGCCCCGTGCAGGGGTGTGGCTCACGCCCTGTGCAGGGGTGCGGCTTCCCTCATACAGGGGTGTGTCTCCTCCCTCCCCATGCAGGGGTGTGGCTCACGCCCTGTGCAGGGGTGCGGCTTCCCTCATACAGGGATGTGTCTCCTCCCTCCCCATGCAGGGGTGTGGCTCACGCCCTGTGCAGGGGTGCGGCTCCCCTCATTCAAGAGTGCATCTTCCCTCTCCCCATGCAGGGGTGTGGCTCAACCCCTGTGCAGGGGTGTGGCCGTCCCTCCTTGCCCCGTGCAGGGGTGTGGCTCACGCCCTGTGCAGGGGTGCGGCTTCCCTCATACAGGGGTGTGTCTCCCCCCTCCCCATGCAGGGGTGTGGCTCACGCCCTGTGCAGGGGTGCGGCTCCCCTCGTTCAAGAGTGCATCTTCCCTCTCCCCATGCAGGGGTGTGGCTCAACCCCTGTGCAGGGGTGCAGCCTTCCCTCCTTACCCTGTGCAGGGGTGCGGCTTCCCTCATACAGGGGTGTGTCTCCCCCCTCCCCATGCAGGGGTGTGGCTCACGCCCTGTGCAGGGGTGCGGCTCCCCTCGTTCAAGAGTGCATCTTCCCTCTCCCCATGCAGGGGTGTGGCTCAACCCCTGTGCAGGGGTGCGGCCTCCCCCCCGTCCCGTGCAGGGGTGCGGCTCCCCTCGTTCAGGGGTGCGTCTCCCCCTCCCCATGCAGGGGTATGGCTCACCCCCCTGTGCAGGGGTGCGGCCTCCACCCTCCCCATGCAGGGGTGTGGCTCAACTCCTGCGCAGGGGTGCGGCCTCCCCCCTCCCATGCAGGGGTGTGGCTCCCCTCGTTCAGGGGTGTGTCTCCCCCTCCCCATGCAGGGGTATGGCTCACCCCCTGTGCAGGGGTGTGGCCTCCCCCCTCCCCCGGTGCAGGGGTGCGGCTCACCCTCGCGCTTCATGCCCATGACCAGGCACTTCTGGTAGCGGCAGTACTGGCAGCGGTTGCGCTGGCGCTTGTCGATGAGGCAGTCCTTGTTGTCACGGCACGTGTAGCCCAGGTCCTTCCGGATGGTTCTCTTGAAGAAGCCTTTGCAGCCCTCGCAGCTGTACACCCCGTAGTGCTTCCCTGGGGGCGAGAGCGGCGGGGTGGGGGGTCCCCAGGGAGGCTTGCACCGGCCCGAGTTTCCCTAGTCCCACCCCGAGGCTCTCCTCGGCCCCCCTCCCACTAGGACCCGCAGCACTCAGGGGTGGGGGTCCCCGCGCGTCCCCCGTCCTCCGGAGCTCCACGAGCCGGATCTCAGACCTGCCCCTTCGTCCATGCGGGCGGCTGGGATTGGGCGCAGGGGAGAGGAGAGGGGGGCCCAGGCCAGCCCCTACCTGACGACCTGTCCCCGCAGATGGCGCAGATGTGCTTGACCAGGGAGCCAGGGCTGCTGGCGGGGCAGTGCAGGCCCCCGACGCCCGGCAGCCCGGGCAGGGGTTTGATGTCCTCGGACACGCTGGCACTGAGCTGCAGAGGGACAGCAGGGCATGTGCTCAGCCCCGCGTGCGCTGGCACAGAAACAGGCGCGACTCGGGGGCACACAGAGGGGTACTGGCCCAATGGACCTGGCATGGGGAGGGTCCGGTGTTCGCAGATGCAAGAGGCCCCCAGCAAGCGGTGCAGGCGGGACAGTGGTTATACACCACCTCTGGGGTCTGGCCAGGTTACTGGAAGGTTCCACAGAAAGGGGAGCTAAGGAATCTTTGCGGGGTGCCCTTTCCTCTTGGCGATGGACCAGTTCTGGAATGTTCTAGAATATTCTGGAATATTCCAGAATATTCTGGAATATTCTGGGAGGTTCTGGAATATTCCGGAATATTCTGGAATGTTCTGGGATGTTCTGGAATCATCCCTCACCTCCCTGCCTGGCTGGGAGCACACGGTGTTGCTGGGTCCTCAGGAGGAGGAGCGAGAGCAGCTCATGAGGTCAGGAAACACCACGGAACATGGGGTTCGGGAGAAGGAGATCCAAGGGGTCCTGTTGGTGCCAGAGGGCCCACAAAGGGGGATGCCGGGCATGGGGTCCCGGTCAAGCCACCAGCGCCCGGTCACTCTCTCTGCCCCCTCCAGCTGAGGGACCCAGACGCAGACGGGAGCCCCGGCCACCTTGCCCCCCACTGCCCACCAGGCCCTACCTGTGAGCCAGGAGGTGCCACCAGGTTCACTCCAGGGGGTGCGGGCAGGGCCCCCGAGGGCGGGCCCATGGCGGAGGTGATGACCCGGTACGGAGAGCCCAGGGCATTGAGCGGGGTGCCCCCTGCACTCAGGGCCCGCGGGGCGCTCACGGGGGCGTCCGTGTAACTGGGGGGCTTCCCCGCTGGCTTCCCGGGGGGCAGAGCGGCCGACGGGCTCATGGACGTGGCGCCGGCGTGGCTGGGGGGGCCTGCGGGGGGGAGGAGCAGAGAGATGAAGATGGGGAGCACGGGGACCCCTCCCCGAACAAGCATCTAGAAAGTGGGGAGCCCCCCGGGGTCACTGACTCGGGGTAAACGTGACACAGTCTGGATCCCTGTCCCCCTGACGGACCCCAAACCCCTCAGAGCCGGGGATGGGGGAGGGTCTCTCCTTCTCACACCCACCCCTGACACAGCCCACCCCACAGACCCCTGATGGACACGAGGCCTAGAAGTGGCTCCTGGTCTCAGGCGTGACCGGTCGGGGGTCCTCGCTGGGTCCTTCCCCTCCTCCTCCCCCAGGCCTGGAAAGGGAGTTAGGAGCCCCTCAAGGGGGGGCTCAGCAGTGAATCCCAGAAGGCAGCAGCCCGCCTGAGATCTCTCGGACCCCGTACCGAGCCAATTCCAAGATGGAATGGGTGTCCCCTCTCTGCTGCCTCCGGATGAGGATGAAACCCCGGTGGCCACGACCTTCCAGAAGCAAAGCCCGGGTACGCGGGATCTGGGACTGAGACTCCAGGTCACGTGGCAGCAAGCAGGACTGGTCGTCCCTTCTGGGGTCCCCGCCCGCCTGGGGTCCTGGCTGTCACGCCCACGAACTGCCCCCAGGACTCATTTAAGCGCCAACAACGGCCTTGACCCAGAGGCTCCCAAATAAATCTCAAAACGGATCAGCTCCCTACAGAGACGTCCCTGGACCCCAGTCATTTAGAATTTTAGAAGTCCAGAAGTGCGCGGCCGCAAAAGACCTCTCAGGATAGTCGTAAAACGCAGCAGGAAATAAATGATCTAGCATCTGCCCCTGGGCTGGAGCGATAGCACAGCGGGTAGGGCGTTTGCCTTGCAAGCGGCCTACCCGGGTTCGATTCCTCTGCCCCTCTCGGAGAGCCCGGCCAGCTACCGAGAGGATCTCGCCTGCACGGCAGAGCCTGGCAAGCTCCCCGTGGCGTATTCGAGATGCCAAACACAGTTACAACAGGTCTCACAATGGAGACGTCACTGGGCCCGCTCGAGCAAATCGATGAACAACGGGAGGACCGTGACTGTGAGTTGTTAGGTTAAAAAAAAAAAAAAAAAGAATCCCTTAAGGGGAGCTGGAGTCCTAGCCTAGCAGGGAGGGTGGGGGCCTTGCACACCAGCACCCCACAGGGTCCCCGGACCCCGCCAGGAGGCAGCCCTGAGCATCTCTGGGTATGGCCCCAAAATCACACGAAACAAAACAAAACATAGAAACTGCACACCAACTCTTAAACTCAATGATACATTGAGTTAATGCCCTCGATGGGACCTTCAGGAGCCAGACCCGGGACACACAGGCCCGAGGGACCCTGGCTTGCAGCTGGGGCTCCAATGGGCCTGCGGGAACTTTTGGCTACAGGTTCGTGGACTGAGGTTGGTGGTTACCAGTACTTGCCTTGCAAAATAAATAACTATATATCTATATTTTTTTTGCTTTTTGGGTCACACCCGGCGATGCACAGGGCTTACTCCTGGCTCTGCACTCAGGAGTCACTCCTGGCAGTGCTCAGGGGACCATATGGGATGCTGGGAATCGAACCCGGGTCGGCCGCGTGCAAGGCAAACGCCCTCCCCGCTGTGCTATCTCTCCAGCCCCTAAATAACTATATATTATATATATATAAATAAATATATATAAAACATCTATTCAATTTGGGTTTTTTTTTTTTTGCTTCCTTCTGTTTATATCAGGTATGTGAATTTCACTTATTATCAAATCCTCTCCCTAAAAAGAAGCTAAGGGGGCTGGAGCGATAGCACAGCGGGTAGGGCGTTTGCCTTGCACGCGGCCAACCCAGGTTCGATTCCCAGCATCCCATAGGGTCCCCCTGAGCACCGCCAGGAGTAACTCCTGAGTGCAGAGCCAGGAGTAACCCCTGTGCATTGCCGGTTGTGACCCAAAAAGCAAAAAAAAAAAAAAAGTAGCTAAGAACTGGAGCCAGAGAGAGAGTAGGGTTTAAGGTGACGGTCATGCTCGTGGTCAATCCCAGTTCCATTCCCAGCGCCCCAGAGGGTCCCCGAAGCACCACTAAGAGTGATTCCTGAGCACTGCACACTGCCTAATTGACTGAGTATCATTGGGAAATGCACCTCCCCCAGATGTCTTGAGCTCTGCTTGGGAGCCCCTCGCGCGCTCACACACACACACACACACACACACACACACACACACTGACTGGAACTCTACACTGAATCCATCCACAGAAAGGACCAGTGACATTCATCCACGTGTCCAAAGTTGGCTTAAGTAGCATCTTCCACGGCTCTGAAGGAAGCGTTTCCTGTGCACGTGTGTGCGTTTGGGGTGGGATGGGGTGTGTGTGGGGGGGGGGTGTAGGACCGGGGTTCGGTTCTCAGCGTCTGAGATGCAGGCACCGCTCTCGGGATGGAGAGAAGCCTTACCTGGAGGGGGCGTTGCTTAGCAACATCCCCCTCGGCCAATAAGAGGGCCGCATCCAGGAGGAGCCTTTCTGATTGGTCGGCTGTGAGCAAATAGCCGGGCACTTCCTCCCGGAGCTCCTTCAGGCTGGAGGGTTCGTGGTCCCTCAGTACCGCTTGAGATGGGGCGATGATGTGTGTGTGTGTGTGTGCGTGTGTGTGTGCGTGTGTGTGTGTGTGTTCATGTGCCCGTGCTGAAGACATATCAGGAGGTCGAGCTGGGACTGGAGCAATAGCACAGCGGGTAGGGCATTTGCCTTGCATGCAGCTGACCCGGGTTCGATTCCCAGCATCCCATATGGTCCCCCGAGCACCACCAGGAGTAATTCCTGAGTGCATGAACCAGGAGTAACCCCTGAACATCGCCGGGTGGGACCCAAAATGCAAAAAAAAAAAAAAAGGTCGAGCTGAAGTCAGGGGCTATCATGGGACTTTGGGCCCCTCGAGGTTTTCCCCAGGGGGCTGCACCCCACATTCCTCCTGCAGCCCTCCAGTGACGTTTATTTAGGGGGCCTCTGTCTGAGGCCGGCCGTGCAGCTAAGCCCAGAGGGACCAGCCCTGGGAAGGCGGTGGGGGGTGGGGGTGGGGGTCTCCACTCTAGTCTCTCTCTAGCTCCTGCCCACAGACAAAACTGGGGTGGGGCAGGGAGGGGCACCGAGCGATGGATGGATTCCGGAGGTCTGGGGACACTCATCCCGCACCCCGCCTCTCGACCCTTCTGGTCCCGCCTCCCATCCCCGACCCACCCTCTGTGGGCTCTCTCTGCACCCAATCCTGGGTGGGCACCCCGGGCCCCTCACTCACCCACCGCCACACCCCCTGCCCTGCCCCCAGCTCCATAGGCTCTTCCCACCTTCCACAGACGGGGCACCGGGCCCCCAGGGGCTGCTCAGATGTGCTTCCGTCTGGGCTTGGGCGATACTTTCTTTTGTCGTCACAACAATGGTGTGTGTGTGCATATGTGTGTGTGCACATGTATGCTTGTGTGCATACATGTGCGTGTATGCATATATGTGCACGTGTACACACGTGCATGTGTGTGCATGTGTGCGTGCATATGTGCACACACGTGAACGTGTGTACACATGCGCGTGTGTATGCATGTGCGTGTGTGCACATGTATGCTTGTGTGCATACATGTGCGTGTATGCATGTATGTGCACGTGTACACACCTGCATGCGTGTATGCATGTATGCGTGCTTATGTGCGCACGCGTGTACATGTGTGCGTGTGTGTACACGTGCACGTGTGTGCGCGTGTGTATGCACGCATGTGTGTGCATGTGAGTGTGCGCATGTGAGTGTGCACATGTACACCCATGTGGGCATGTGCACGTGTGCGCACACATGTACATGTGTGTGCATGTGCGTGTGTGTACACGTGTGCATGTGTGTGTGCACCCTTTAGAGGTAGTGCTTGCAGGCACTGGGTCGGAATCATTAGACTTTTGTGGCATCCATGATGCCACTGGGCAGTGCCTCGGGGATAGACCTCAGCACGGGGTGGGGGGTGGGGGTGATGGGGATTGAACACGTGACCTTGCCCAGCGAGGAGCGGTCACTGGCCACCCGGGGCAGGCAGAGGGCAGTTTACTGGCCCTGGGCATTCTCTTCTGACAGGCAGGTAAGGTTCTGGGTCAGGCACCCCTAGCAGCGGGAGAATAGAGGCTGATGGGAATGAAGACCAGGGAGGGGTGGGGGTTGGGGGCACAGGGGACACCCCTCCTTCAGCAGCCCCCCACAAACCTCTGGGAAGGAACGGCAAGATGAAGGGCACACCAGCCGGTCAGCATCCCCCGAGCATCGCTGGGGGCCAAAGAACCCCAAAGGAGGCATGTGACTGAAATGGGGGTCCCGGGGAACACTGAACGGACCCTAGGGACAGGCAGGGGGTGTCCTGTGCAGTTTGGGGTTTTTTTCTCACTCAGGGAGATTTCAGAGCACTGGGAGAGAGTGTGGAAGTCAGGGTCCTGCCCCCATGTGGTCCCCGAGCATCGCCAAGTGCAGCCCTGAAGACCCCAGTATTGAGCTGGGACCCAGACACCAGGACCTCCTTAGAACTCTGGAAGCCCCCCAAAGGAAAAATTCAATTAAGAGCTGATACAGGGGCTGGAGCGATAGCACAGCGGGGAGGGCGTTGGCTTGCATGCTGGATCGACCCAGGTTCGATCCCCGGCATCCCATAGGGTCCCCCGAGCACTGTCAGGAGTAATTCCTGAATGCAGAGCCAGGAGGAACCCCTGAGCATCGCCGGGTGGGACCCAAAAAGCAAAAAGAAAAATAAATCAATCAAAAACAAAAAATTAAAAGTTGGTACATTTCAGGGGGTGGATCGCCGAGTTGATTTTCTTCCCCCCTGAAAACAAGGTGGGGTCCCGCACCCTCGAGCTGGGCTGGGGGGAGGCAGAGCAGGTAACACGCCCCTCCCCCTCCCCGCACCCCCTCCCCTCCCCTCCAGCCCGCCCCGCGGAGGGGAAGAGAGGCGGGCGAGGCTTATAATCAGCCTTATTATTCCTAGCATCCCGTGTAATTATGGCAAAAACCTCACTCACTTGGCTCAACGGAGAGAAAAAAAATCCGTCTAAATCCGTGACAGGTTGGCAGATCACTTCTAAATGACGATTTTATTACCCCGAAGTCGCGCGGGCTCTGCCGTTTCCGAGTGGGTCCCGCTGACGGTTCTGGGGGGGGGGTGGATTCTGGAACCCTTGCTTTGCGAGGCTGTCTGGTAATTAACCCCCGTTAATATGCTAATGCTGCCCCAGCTCCTTCCTCTTTTCAAAGCTTGGAGACAGGTTCCCCCCTTCGACAATCACATCTGCTTGAACTAATTTTTTGAGGGGGGACAGATTTTTGGAGGGAGGTTCGGGGCCACACCCGGCGATGCTCAGGGCTGACGCCTGGCTCTGCACTCAAGGGATCTCTCCTGGCGGGTCTCTGGAGACCAGGTGGGAGGCCGAGGATCGAACCCGGGTCAGTAACGTGCCAGGCAAACGCCCTCCCCGCTGTACTATGGCTTCAGCCCTGAGTTTCGCTTTGTTTTGTTTTGTTTTGATGAATAAGCCAAAAAAAGAGTAACCATCACGGGCCTCATTCCCCTGACCCGGAAAGAGCCCCCAATACGGCAGCGTTGGGAAGGACGAGTAAGGAGAGGCTGCGAAAATCCCAGGGCTGGGACGAATGGAGACGCTACTGGCGCCCGCTCGAGTAACTCGATGAACAACGGGATGACAGTGACAGTGACGAATAAGCCGACATGCCGATGAGGCCAGACTATGAACCATTCACAGCCTAATGTCCCAACGGATCCGTCCAGGCTGGATCTGAAATTCCAGGACCCCCCAGAGTCAGAGGTTACAGGCAAGGGTCCCAGGCTGCTGGGTTACAGGGCAGGGGGCAAAGTGCTCTTGGCCCTGCATGCTGGATGTGACTGAGGCATGTGACTGAAATGGGGGTCCCGGGGAACACTGAACGGACCCTAGGGACGGGACCCTAGGGCAGGAAACAGCTTCCCCTCTGTTCCTCCCCAAAACTCCTCCCTCAGGGACCCCCACTCACGCCCCGGGGGCTCCCACAGACGGGCCACACATCAGGAAGAGGGAAAAACACACACACACTCACACTCGCATACAAGACACACTCATCTATACACACACACTCACACACATACACACACTCACATACACATACTCACATACACACACTCACACTCACATACACACATACACACACATATACACTCACACACATACACACACCCACACACACTCACATACACACACTCACACACACTCGCATACACACACTCACATACACACACTCATCTATACACACACTCACACTCACATACACACACTCATCTATACACACTCACATACACACATATACACTCACACACATACACTCACACACTCACTCATATACACACTCACACACATACACACACCCACACACACTCACATACACATACTCACATACACACACTCACACTCACATACACACACTCATCTATACACACTCACATACACACTCATCCTCATCTTCACATACACACATATACACACATACATACACATATACACTCACACACATGCACTCACAAACTCACTCATATACACACTCACACATACACACACTCACGCACACTCATACACACACCAGATAAAACCTCAGTCAAGGGCACACACCAACATCCTCATCCATACACACTCAGAGACACAACCTCTTACAAATGCGCACACACACACACAGACACAGCCTTGTACAGAGCACACACTCCCCGCAACGCGCTCACACTCAGACACACACACACGCACACCACACACAAAGAACATCATCTCACACGCGCACACGCACACACCCCGGGGCTGCCTCGCTGGGCCCCTCTGGGTGCCCCGTCCTGGTCCGAGTGTCCCCACGGCCACAAGCATGCACCCAGGGGGCCGGGCACCACCCAGCTGGACCGGATGGGGTGTCCAGGCTGCTGGGGTCACAGTGCACGAGAGACTGGGACAAACACAGTATTTCCACTCCCTCCCTCCCTCCCTCCCTCCCCCTCCCTCCCCCTCCCCTCTCTCTCCCTCCCTGTCCCCACCCCTCATCCCTCTCAAGTCCACAGGACACTCTGGTTAAGTTTCTGCCGGGAAGTGGACTTTTCCGGAAGGTTCCGGCGCCTACCAGGCGGTGTCACAGGGCCCTGCCTCCGTGACTTGGTTTCCCCATCTGCGACAGGACAGTGAGATGCTCCCTGGGGTGGCTTCTTCTGCTCCCCGCTTCCTCCATCCTGGGCTCTCCTGTACCCCCCCCCACGTTACTTACTCCCCCCAGATGAGGGGGGGGTCCCAGAGCTGCAGGAGCCGGGGGTGGGGTGGGGTCCCCCCAAAGCAGCAGCTGTGAGCAGAGGCCCCGCTCCCCGGCCAGGCCGGCTGGTCACCGCCCGAGGGGGCTGTGGGCCTGGCACCCAGGGGTGGGCTGGGCGCCGGGCGAGCTCGGGAAGGGGGGTGCCTGTGTCCCAGCGCCCGAGGATGCCCCGAGTCTCTCCTGGGACAGGAAGCGGCACAAGCAGACAGGTCCTCGGCTCTAAGGACCACCCTGGCCGGCTCTCCCCTCCCCTCCCCTCTCCCTGCCCTGCACCCCCCGCCAACTCCCGGACCCTGCAAGCCCCGATGCCCCCCCCCGGCCCCCACACACACACTCACCGAAGCCTGTGGGAAACTTCACAAAGTGGGAGTAATTTCCATACATGCTGCCCACGGCCACGGCCACGACAGAGGCAGCTGCCGCGTCCTGCCGCCCGCTGGGGGTGGGGGGCCCCGGCCTGGACCGGCTCGAGGGTTCACCTCATGCCTCCCCCCTGCCGCCCGCCCCGGGAGCCCAGCAGGGCCAGCCCTGGGGGTGAGCCGGGAAGGTGGCCGAGGCCGGCTGGCAGCTGGTGACGGTCGTCCTGCCGCTGGCACCCGGCACCCGCCCGCCCGCCCGCCGCGATCCTGTTGCTAGTTTGATGAACTCGGGCGGGCGGGTGGCTGTGAGCGGCGCCTCCCGCTTTCCCAGGGGGCTCTGCCGGTGGCGGCTATTATCTCGGGAGCCAATCGATGTGACCGCCCGGCCCTGGGTGGGGGCCGCGGGGAGGGGGGGTGCCTGGGTGGGGGGGGCTGCCCTCGATGGGGGCTGATGGAAACCCATTGTCTGGTGCCCCGCCCACGCGGGGGTCCCCCCTCTTCCCCCGATGCACTTGAGATTGAATCTGAGAAGGGGAGGTGGAGGGCGGCTGAACGGGGCTTGTCCCCAGCGACCAGAGGGGACAAGTGTCTGTCTGTCTGTCTGTGTGTGGGGGGGGTGGGGGGCTGGGCACAGACGCAGAGCGGCAGAAACGGCCCTCCTGGGAGTTCTGGTGCGCGGACCCCCACTCCCAACTCCGCTGTGGTACCGAGAAGCCCCCGTCCCCCCCAGGAGAGAGTTCTGTGGGCAGTGCAGGACCTGGCCGAGACCGTGAGGGCTGATAGACATCCCCGCCCGCCCCCGACCCCCTGGCCCCGTCGCCACCAAGTTCTCAGCGGCTCTTCAAAGGAAGTGACCACAGAACCAGCCTGCCACGATCCAAGGTCCATCCCCACCCGATGGACCCCGTCTGCTCGGTGGGGAGCTGTTTCAGGCCCCCCACCACTCTGAGCACTTTCTGAGGGAGCCCAGGTGGCGTCTGTCCCAGTTGGCGTCTGTCCCCGGGAGCCCGGGGCGAGGGTCTTCCTGGGATGCCCCCAGCCCACCTTCTCCACGCACCCCGGGGTCCGACTTCTCACCCGCTGCCAGTTCCCTGCAGGTCCTGAATTCATGACCCTCGAAGGGGACTGGACGGGGCGGCCCTGGGGGGTGCAAGACGCCACTGAGGGTCCCAACCGGACCTCCTCCTCGTGGGGGGCGGGAGGCGGCGCAGCCCAGCTAGGGCCCCTGTCGGGGGTGGGTGCGCCGCGAGGGGCCCGCTGGGAGGGCCACGGGGGACTGTGGCGATATTCAAGCAGAGGAACAGAGACGGACGGTTGGATGAGAAAGAGGGTAGGGGTGAGGGGGAGCCCCCTCCTCAGTGGACACGGATGTGGCCGCCCCAGCTGAGGGTGGGCACGGCCGTGAGGGGTCCAGCGTGAACCCCAACACGCGCTGCTGAGACGGGCTGTCACCCCATGCTCGGGCCACCCCTGGAAATGAGCCCCCCAGAATGCACCCATTCCAGGAGGAAGCGGGGGAGGGGTGGGGGAGGGGAGGAGGGGCAGGAGAGAGGGGGAGGAGGGAGGAGGGAGAGAGAGGGAGGAGGGGAGGGGAGGAGGGGGGGAGAAGAGAATGGGGAGAAGGGGAGGAGAGGGAAGAAGGAGGGGAGGAGGAGGAGAGATGGAGGGAGGGGAGGACGGAGAGGAGGAGGGAGGGGAGGACGGAGAGGAGGAGGAGGGTTGGGAGGAGAGAAGAAGGAGGAAGAGGAGGGGTGGGGGAGGGAGGAGGGTGAGGAGAGATGGGGAGGAGGAGGAGGAGGGGAGGAGGGGAGGGGAGGACCGTCCAGCCGTCCAGGAAGGGCCTGCAGGGCCAGCCCAGGCTGCTGTCCGGGTGGGTCCAGGCTGGGGTGGGGGTCCATCAGCTCCACAGACCAGACGGGCCTGCCCAGCGCGGTGGCCCCAAGCTTGGCCGCTGCCCCCCTGGGACCCCACAGGACACGCCATGTGTGTCCAGCTGCCACTGACCTCAGGGTGTGAGGGGGGACGTCAGGACGCCAGGGCAGCGAGCAGGGGCTGACAGGCGCCGGCAGCTGAGTGGGCGGCGCCAGGGGACCCCCCCCCACCCCCGCCCGTGCCCTTGGAGGCCTGGAAGGTTCTAGTTACAGGGCCTGGCGGGCAGCTGCCCGGCTGGTTCACAGTGATGGCCCTGGGGGAGGGGGGTGGCGGGGGGCACCTGATCCCTGGGGACGCCTGGAGGGTCTGGCCAGGAGTGAGTCCTGGGAGCACGGAGCGGGGCCGAGTGCGGGCGGGAGGGCCGTGGCAGGGTGCTGGGGGTCTTCAGACAGGTTGCCCCCAGCACCCCCGGACCCCCAGCATCAGTCTGGGCGTCATCATCTCGTGCGGCCCCCAAACCTGTGCTTCGGTGGTCCCACGCGACGTCCGCAGCCCCGGGTACCGACGCGGGGCGCAGGGGGCCGCCAGGAGGGAGGCAGGGTGGGGGTCTCCGCTGCAGGGGCCCTGGGGCGCTGCCACCCACCCCCACACCAGGGGGCGGCCCCCGCGGGAGGGAGCTGCCTACAGGCTCCATCAGGAGGAGAGCCCAGGGGCAGGCGCGCTCTGAGGGTCCCCGCAAGGGGGACGTCCCCTCCCCCGCCCATCCATCCCGCGCCCTGACAGATTAATCCCGCTAATGCACGGCGCCCGAGCGCAGAGCACAGACCGTCCCCCGCCCCACACCCCTCGGCCCACGTCCCCCCCTCCAGGACTGGCCAGCGAGCCCCCACCCGTGTGTGTGTGTGTGTGTGTGTGTGTGTGTGTGTGTGTGTGTCTCTCTCTCTCTTCCTGCCTGGAAGCAGCCCCCCCCACCCACCCACCTCCTGCTCCCTCACCCAGAGCGACGGGCCAGTGGCTCCTACGGCATCTGCAGCCAGGCCTGGGTGGGCTCGTGGCCAGGGACGAGGACCCCGGTGCCCACGCACTGCAGGAGCCAGTGGGCAGCAGAGAGGAAGGAGGGGAGGGAGGGAGAGGGGGAGGGAGGGAAGAAGGAGGGAAGGAAGGAAGGAAGAGAACAGAGAGGAGGAATAAAGGAGGAAGGAAGGAAGGAAGAAGGGAGAGAGGGAGGGAGGGAGGGAAGGAAGGAAAGAAGGAAGTAGGAAGGAAGGAAAGAGAAAAAGAGGAAGGAAGGAAGGAAGGAAGGAAGGAAGGAAGGAAGGAAGGAAGAGAAGAGAGAGGGAGGAAGGAAAGAAGGAAGGAAGAAAGGAAGGAGGGAGGGAGGGAGAGAGGGAAGGAGGAAGGAAGGAAGGAAGGAAGGAAGGAAGGAAGGAAGGAGAAGGAAGGAAGGAAGGAAGGAAGGAAGGAAGGAGAAGGAAGGAAGGAAGGAAGGAAGGAAGGAAGGAGAAGGAAGGAAGGAAGGAAGGAAGGAAGGAAGGAAGGAAGGAGGAAGGAAGGTCGGAAGAGAAGAGAGAGGGAGGAAGGAAGAAGGAAGGAAAGAAGGAAGGAAGGAGGAGAGAGAAAGAACTTTCCACGCCAGGAGAAAGAACGAAAGAAAGAAAGAAAGAGAGAGAGAGAGAGAGGAAGGAAGGAAGGAAGGAAGGAAGGAAGGAAGGAAGGAAGGAAGGAGAGAGAAAGAACTTTCCACGCCAGGAGAAAGAAAGAAAGAGAGAGAGAGAGAGGAAGGAAGGAAGGAGGGAAGGAGGGAAGGAAGAAGGAGGGAAGGGAGGAAGGAGGATGGGAAGGAGAGAAGGAAGGAGGAAGGAAAAGAGGAGGGGAAGGAGGGAGGAGGGCAGAGGGAGGAAGGGAGGAAGGACGGCCAGACAGACCAGCGGTCCGCCCTCCTCTCTGCCACCCTAAGTCCCCCGTGCTGACAGGGACCCTCCTCTCACCCTCATAGGGTCCCGCCTGGCGCCCACCCAGAGCCCCTCTCCCTCCGCTCGGGCAGTGCCTGGAGGGTCCCCTTCGGGTGTGGCTGTTGGGAGCACGGGAGGCCCCGGGGTTCAGGGTCTCCCGGCTGAGACAGCCCCCCTCCCCGTAGCTGGGCATCTGGAGGCTTCTGCAAGGCCGCGAGCGCCTGTGGGGGCGTCGGGGCCTCGGGTGCTGCCCCCGACTGTGCCCTGGCCGCGGGGACTCAAGTGGCTTCCGGGAAAGGGAGCCGGGTTGGCCGTGCCGAGTGCCCGGCTGCTATGGAAACGGGCATTAGGGGATCCAGGCGAGTTGCCGGGGCTGAGAGGAACACGGGGGGGATGGGGTGGGCGCCACAGGTGTGGAGGGGGCCGGGGGGGTTGGGGGAGGCGGTGGGAGGGGGGCCCTGGCCAGGGAGGCCAAGGCACGGGACCCTGAGCGCCCACCAGGAGCGACCCCCACACACCCTGAGCCCCGAGCCCTGAGCCCCGCCGGGTGCGGCCCCAAAATCCAAATAAATAAAGGCAGGGGCCAAACAGGAGAATTCTAGAAAGGAACCAAGCCCGCGGGATGTTTTCAAAGGACTGAGCAATGCAAGAGGGTACTAGGGGGGCGCCCGCCAACCCCCCAGGTGGGACCCCCCGCCCTCCGACATCAAGACCCTGTTCTGTCTGCTGCCCCCAATAGGATGATGTGGATGCCCGCAGAGGTGCCTCTGGGGGGCAGGAGGGACCCCCAGTCCTTCCGCACAGCAGACGCTGGAGCGGGGGGTGGCTTCTTCTCTGGGGACCCCACAGGGCACTGAGGGCTGGGTGGGCCTTGGGCGTCTTTGAGGGGGTCTGGAGGGTGCTGGTGCCCGCTGGAGCCTCCCCACGCTTCCATTTTGCCAGGGTGAAAAATAAAAAAAAACACCGCCAAAAAGTCGTTTAAATACTCAGAAATATTGCAGACACACACACACACACACACACAAAACTTTTTTAAAAAATGAAATATTGCACAATGCCCCAGCTTGGGGCCGGAGCGATAGCACAGCCCGCAGCCAACCTGGGTTTAATCCCCAGCATCCCATCGGGTCCCCTGAGCACTGCTAGGGGGTAATCCCTGAGTGCAGAGCCAGGAGTCAGCCCTGAGCATCACCCCATAACTCAAATTGTA